GATCCTCATCTTTTAATTACTTGCCAGCCCCAAATTTTGCTTTTTTCGATGCCTGAGCTCGCCCATATTGAAGTTTGCTTCACACATGCAGCCACTCATGTGGTTCAGGTTTTTAAAGTCCAAATTAACCAACTTACTAAAAAAAAAAAATCAAGTGTTTGAAGAACTAGGGAAGAGAGGAGTTGCTGAAATGTGACCTACCTCCCTGGCCAGAAGAGCCAGCAACTGCATGCACAAGCCGCAAAGTCCAGGCATGAGGTCACTATGAGGGACAAAAGAACGCTGGCCGGGTGGGAGCTGTGTCTCACTGCTTGTACCGAGTCACTGCTGACCACACGGCACCTCTGGTCTTGGCAGCTGTGCTGGGCTTGCTGGTTCTGCCATCTGTAAGAACAAACTGTGTAGGCAGTAATTTTTCCCACAAATGTTCTTACAGTAAGCGATGGAAAACTTCATCACAGGTTTTTAAAAATGTTCTTACCATAAAAGATGGAAAACTCCATCATGGGTTTTTAAATATGAAGTTCCCGAGCCACAAATCCTGCCCCAGACAGTAGTGTAAGTCTATTCATACACTCCTGTATAGGAGTGCACTGCAGACCTTTAGCTATCTCTATTGCTTTTTTGAACATTTTCCAGTCCATCTGTATCTTTCTGAGATGGGGAGAACAGAATTGCATTCAGTGAATTATGGATGTGTTGAGAGCTGTAATGATATTCTCTTTTTTATGGGCTCCTCTTTTCCAAATGATCTTTAACATGTGACTCTCATTTTGGACTACATGGTAAAAATGAGCTCTTACTCCAGGGAGACAATAGCTTGGTGCACGTTATAAGACTGTAAAGAGAAGAAAATACGAAAACTACAATTATTCTCATTCAATAACAGCTGCTATTTTATTATCTGCTCACATGGTATCACAGATTGTTGTTCGCCCTGAATCACCAATGGTCTTGTTACCCGACGGCCTGAGTGGGAGGTGGAAGCAGGGATGTGGGAGATTGGAAAGGGTAATGCCAGTATGAGACTTTTTCCCAGGCTGGATGGCTGAATCCTTCCCAAAATGCTGCTTTGTCCTTCCCAACCTCTCTGCTCACATCCTTACTAGCAGCTGGAGAGGGAGTGGAAGGAAGGCAGGGGGCAGATGCAGACGGTGCTGTGATGTGCATGGAGAGGACCAAGGTGTCCAGTCCTGGGGATGGAGTGGTGGTGGCCCTGGCCACTCCTGGTCCTGGAATAAAGCTGCAGTGGCCACAGCAGGCTCCCCAGCCTGGTTCCCTATCCCACTGCACTCCAGAACATGACCAAGGAGGGCTTGTCCCCGTGTCCTGAAGTGGCAGTTAAGGGGGCAAGAGGCGTGCAGGGAGCAGAGAAGCTTTTCTACCTGCTTCTCCTTCATCTCCCCAACTCCTGGTAAATGCTAGGCCAGCCCCTGGGCTTCCTGGGTGCTCCTGTCCCCATCCCTTGGTGGTTGCAGGCAGGATGTTGCACAGCTGTGGCTTGTCTCTTGCCCTTGCAGAGGGATGGGTGGGACCATGCACCCAAGGCAACTCCATCCCCTCTGCTTAGATCAAAAGCCTCGTGTGCAGCAGAGAGGGGCGTGATGTGCAGCAAGATTAGATGAGGAGCAAATTATTGATGCCCTGGGTACTTAAAAGCCAGTGTAGTATCAAACCCTCTGTGATCTGAACCCTTTTTTTGCCACACTGGTAGGCTGGAATACAAAAAAAACCCGCCTCATTTCCTATTCTCACATTTTAGCAAAAGCTGTGCATGGGATGCTTTTGCGGGGCGGGGTGGGGGGGAGCATTTCCTGCAGCAGGATTTGCAAGGACAGTTGAGTTGTGGCATGACAAGCTCCTTGATGAAGGATTTGAAAGGCTTTGCCTTACTGCTTGTCCTCACTGTCCATAACTGGCCCGACACATTTACTGAGCCACCAGGTTGAGTTCCCACCACCTTGGGCCATCTGCCTGCCGGCAGCACTGCCAGTGGCCCCATTTTCCCCTTGCTCTATCCTGAACACCAGGACTCAGTCTGCTGAAATCCCCATCAAGGTGAGATTACTGGGCACTGTCTGGAGCTCAGATTGCCATCAAGTTTCTTGATATCCCCTTTTGTTTATCTTGATTTTAGGCAGAGGACAAAACTTTGTAGGAAATAAAAATGGAATAGGGTTGGGAGGCTGACACAAGCTATGGGTGTGTGCCCAGGCTGGGGTGTTTCACTGTACAGAGTGCCTGTACAGAGTGGGTGCAGCTGCCTGTGGGCACCCAGCAGTTCTGCTGCAGCTCCCAGCCCCAGCACAGTGAGGAGGGCTCACCCTGCAACTCCTTCCTGCATGAATGTCTCCCTGCTGCTAGACAGCCACAGGTTGCCCACACAGGAGAGTGTGCTTGAGCACCAGTTAGAGACTTGATGCTATGGACCTACTTGGGGAGTGCAAGGAGATATCTTCAGGGGCTGAGCAGCTGATTTAACTCTTGGAAATCTTCATGCTGGGTAAAGTGGTTTTGCTAGGTGTTTGGAACACTGCTTTGCCCTGCCTGAGCTAGAAGACAGCCACACTTCTCTGCAACCTAATACTTCATGCATGATGGAAGAAAAGCAGCTCAAGGATGTATTAGCAGACAAGCATGGACTGAGGTGAGGTGCTGTATGTAAGAGCACTGGAGCATGTAAGGACCTTCCATCCCTCCACTGCCACATCTAGGGATGGAGTCTGGCTGAGCTGCAAAGACAGCCTACAAAGGAAGAGCTGTTGGTGTCTCCAGTACCCTGCACAAGGATGGGGTTAGGAGACAGTGAATGCCCCAGCTCAGTCTACTTTGACCAACTAAAACATAGGCCAACATGACTGGGCAGTTCTACGGTGTTTGAGCTTTTCTCCAGCCTGTCAGGAAAACACAGAGCCTTCAAATGAGTAAAGTCCTCATAGAGCAGCCCTTGCTCTCCACCCATCTCCTTCAGCCTTTTGCAGACCCTACTGTTCCATGGGGATCTTTCCCAGCCTAGAAATAGGGCTACGAAGGGATGCAGGACCAGTGCCAGGGACTCCTGAAGGGGCTTTCCTGGCTGGGTGCCATCACTGAGAGAACTCACCAGCTTTACCCCTGCTTCATGGTGGAGGACTTGGGTTTCCAGGGGAGAGTGAAGAGGACAGAAGCAGCCGGACCCACTAGCTGAGAAACCCTTGGGAAGAGATAATACCAAATTGCCGCTCACTGGAAAGAAGCTGCCCCCATTTCAAATGGATTGTCTCACTAGACATGTCTTTGTGAAAGCCACTGCAACAGCCAGACTGAGGGAGGACAACTGTCCCTGAACTAGGGAGAGGGCAGGGGGCCTGGGGAGAGGCAGCCCTGCCCTGATGACCTGGACGGAGGTCCTAGAAAGGACACGGCCTCACAGGCCCTGAGCCAGGACATACCCTAGACCATTTCTGCCCCCACAAGCACATACAGACTCCCTCCAAGCCCAGGCATGATCCCACAGCACAGACAAAGCACGGGCACAGGCAGGCGGGGAGGAACAGAAAGCAAGATCCTTTATTGTACACAGTACAGAATGTAATGCAGCTTTGCAGGAGATACATAGCCCTGCTCAAGTAAAGATTATTTCAAATCAGTCCTCAGATTAACCCCTTCTGCATTGTAAACCTGCCACACCAAGTAAATGGTTAAAACTGCATCCCTAAGGTGGGGTTCCTGCTCCACACAGGTATAGGCCACTGCAGCTACCATGGGCAGAGCAACCAAGTCTACACAGAGTTAATCTTCATACCTTCCAAAATGAGAATGAGTCGGTTAAAAAAACCCCAGAATCCAACCAAAGCTAACTAAGGAAGAGAAAAAAAATTCCTATACAGCATTTACAACAAAAACATGTAGCCAGTGGGGGCAGGCAGGTATGGATATATGAGCGGTGGAGGAGTGTTAGGAGGTGCAGTGGGGAGGGGCAAGCTGGAGGGAAGCGGGGTACCTGGGAAGTGGGGTGGGGGACCCCATCATCCCTCCCCACTGCCGCCTTGCAGCCCAGCTCTGAGGCCATGCTGAGCAGAGGGGGAGTGCAGCTGAGCTGGCACCAGGGTTCAGCCCCAGCTCTCCCAGGAAAGAGGACTTGGGCAGTGAAATGGAGTGGACCAGATACTTTGGCAGCCATCCTGGGAAGCTCTGCGCGCTAAGGGCTCCCCCTGCAAGCATGCCAGGGGGGTGCCCCCAGGGGCTCCAGGAACAGCAGCTGGGCTGCAAAAAATAGCTTTGCCTTAAAAATACAAAAAAAAAAAAAAATCAGTTTAGAAACCTTTTTTTCTCCTAAAACTTAAGGAAAAAACCAAAAACAACAAAACACAGGAAGAGAGGGAGATAGTGTCAGGATCCCCTCCCCTGAAATGTAACCGTGGCCCACAGCCAAGGCTGAGAAGGAGTCAGAGGGGCATAAGAGGACCCGGAAGGGGCTGAGAAACCGTTCTATCAGGTTATATCATCAGGGTGGGGGCAAGGAGAGGCCATTTGGGAAGAAGGCAAAATGCTCCTCGGGGTTGGGGTAGGATGCTGCATGCATCAGCCCTGGGGTTGCTGGCCCAGGTGGCCCCCCCGCATCCCTCCTGTGTGCAAACCAAAGCCCTTTCCACCACACAAGGCAGCTACGCGGATCACGCTCAATGCAAAGCAAGATTGTCATGACAACTAGCTACAACGGCTATGCCGGCTCAGCCCAGTCCCAGGACGCTGCTGGAGCCATCAGCCCTGGCAGTGCTGCAGAGTTAACGGGGCCTGGGTCAGAGGCTGCATCTTTAGCTCCCATCACCCCAAAACATTGTGCCGATGCCTGGCAGGAGGTGCCAGCCACAGGCAGTCTTATGCACTAGCCCTTGGACAGTAATGGTGGGAATACGGCAGTGACACACACGGGTCATTTTAGATTCCTCCAATTTGTGTGTGAGCACTTGGGGTTTGTTTGGTTGTGGGTTTGGGTTTTTTTTTTCCTTATGAACAGCAAAAAATATTCTTTACAAAACTGTATTTGCCCAAAGTGGATGCGCTAGTGCTCATGGCTCTGCCGGCCGGCCGAATTAGTAAGCAAAGCCCTCCGCATAAGGAAGGCTGCTGCAGGGATCCATCTCTAGGAGGTATGCTGGGCTGTCCTCAAAATGTGTCAGCGGCACTGTCTCCTCCTCGGGCACTGGGCAGTCAGGCTCTGTCTTCAGGAAGGGGCGTTGGTTGTCGGGGTAGGCCATGGAAAAGAGGGCATCAGGGTCACAAACAAACTTATAGACGTACCGCTCGCCAGCTACCTGCAAGGAGGAGGAGGGCATAAGAGATGCACCAAACCTTCCCCTCCCAGGAAATAAGAAGAACAGTACAACCAACACAGGACCTAGCCCTGCTCCTGCTGTGCCCCAGGATGACAGGACAGTGAGGGATGGTCACACCCTCCACCCACCCCTCCATGGTAGCAGTCACTCGCCTTCTGCATGATGCCCTTCTCATAGTAGTAGCGCAGGGAGCGGCTGAGCTTGTCATAGTTCATGGCCGGCCGGTTCTTTTGGATGCCCCAGCGCCGTGCCACCTGGGGTGAAAAAGGCAACAGTTGTAAAGGCTCCAGCTACGACTTGGACATGGATCCCTGAATGGAAATCACAACCAAAAAGTGGGGTAGGGGCTCATTTCTAGGGGCTGGGGGAGCCAGGGGCAAAAGCATCACCACAGTCCCAGAACAGTTCCCTGCCAGCTGCAATAAATGCTCCAGATCTAAGCACCGGCTGCCACAACACCGCACCACCAAGCTTGGAGCCGAATCAAGACATTTGATTAGGGGGGTCTGCCAAAAAAGCCACTTCAAAAACAAAACAAAACAAAACAAAAAACACAATTTCCATTGCTGGCCTAAGAGATATTTTGGCTAATTACCTACAATGCACAGATCGGTGCTACAGCTGCTTTAAATTACTCCTCAAACAGCTTCTTCCTGTGTGTCACGCTCCTGCAGAACCACATGGCTTCGGGCGCTGCACCATGCTGGCACAGAGCTGTGCCCAGGATGAAGGTTAGGAGCAGTTTGGGAGGGAGGGACCCGTGGCTGAGTGGCAGATCTCAGCAAGGCACACAAAGCATGGCACAGAGGGAATGCCAGTGCAGCCAGTGACCACCAGCGGCTCTGGGATCAGAGCACGTGCTGCACTGAGAGGCAATGGAGGAGATTAAAGGCAAATTCTATGGCTGCTTAGTGCAGACAGATGGCTTTTCCCTCTCACCTTCAAAAGCTGCCCAGAGAGTAAAGACACAGGTCTCACTTCAAGTGTGAGTGTGAACTGTCGTGTTGCAGAGGAAGGATCCTTGCCCCAACACCCCCTGCACTCCCAGGCTCCTCCTGCAGCCTCCTGGGCTGCAGCCCTGGCTTTAGCACACCCGGTGCTGGGGCAGAACCCCTCTCATACCTCCTCAGGCTCGCTCAGCTTGAAGTCCATGCCCCGGCCGGTCCAGGCAATGAAGTGAGCATTAGCGGGGTCATCCAGGAGGGTGACCAGGAACTGCCAAAGCTGCAGGGACCCACGTCGCTGGTAGGGAGGGCCCTCACGGTACATGGTGGGCTCTTGCTTCACTTTACCTGCCCACACCAAGACATGGCTGGTTAAACACCCCAGAGCTTTACCCCTCTCCCAGGCTGTGCCACCTGGCAAAGGACACACAGAGCGACACTGGGCTCATCCCTACGCCGGGACTCCCCGTGCAGGATCAGGGGAGAGAGGAGGGGAGAGATGGGGAAGCAGGATGGCAGTTGAGGAGTGGAGTGGGTGGCAGGGGCAGGGCACAGTGGTGATGTCAAGCAGCTGTATGGAACAATGTTCAGCAACTCTCAAGAGCACTGCATCAGCGCAGCTTGGACTTAGAAGCTGGCCACTGTGAAGCCTGGCCCCAAATCTCCCTGCATGAACCTTGGTCACCCCCTAGCCTTCCTCTGGGACTGGATTCTTACCCTCCAGCCTCTCCGGTACCACACATGTGTCATCAAAATACAATCGTGTGTCCTTTTCATATGAAAATCCTAGGGGGAAAAGATTCTCAGTGAGCACAAGGCCTTTCCACCACCCCAACCAGAACACAAAAACCCTGGCTTGGCCCAATCCAGCCACAAGACTCTGTGCACCAGCACCAGGAGCAGTCCCATCCCCCGTTACTCCAGTGACATTCCAGCACCTCACAAGCTGAGCACTGTGCAGTTTTGTCCCCCTCTCACCCTGAGGAGCTGGAAGAACCAAAACCTTCTAAGCACCTATATTGTGGTGCTGCTGTGCCCTCAGCAGCTTGCTTGCAGAGGCCGGTGGCTGCATGTTACAGGTCCTATTTTTAGCAGTGGAGCCAGTGCTACTCAGCAGCAGACTCTTGTGGGTGTCTTTAGGGGTGCCTGGCAGCTCTGCCAGAGGAGAGGGGGAGTCTTCCTGCCCCAAGGGATGGATGGGATATGCTGGGGATGCCCATGAGCAGAAGACAGCCAGGAGCACACTCACCATCACGGCTGCTGGGGAAGACACTCCCCCGCAGGTACGAGGACTGGCAGTTAGGCACTTCTGTGAGGGAGATGAAGGTGGTGTTAAGGACATACATCCTGTGGGTCCCACTGAGTGCTTGGCAGCATCTTCCCCCAGAGCACATTCTGCAGCCAAGTCCAGGCACCTCCCCAAACCCACTGGAACATCCTGGGCTGCTGCATCCACCCCAAGTCCCACCACCAACTTTAGGGAAAATCAGTACGATCCTGGAGGGGGCACAAATGGAATGAGCACTGGAAGCAAGTTCTAAGTCAGCTCAGTTTTTTACCACATTATTTGGGCCCCATGGGAAGGGAAGCATCATGGTGCCTCCCCTGCCATCTGCTCAGCATCCTGAGGTCAGGGTATTTTTAGGTCCTAAGGCGATTAGAGGATTTTTCCTTGATGCTAGTGAGGTCCAGCAGCCAGAAATCACAGCTGGCCCCAGGCCAGGGCTGTGGGGGGACCTGATGTGTGCCACAGGGTACCCCAGCCCACAGCTATGGCACAGACCACAACTGCGCAGCATCTGGTTAACACCTGCTCTACCCCTGCCCCTGCTTTGAAAAAGAAAGAGAAGAGAAGATTACATGTAAAAGGAAGAAATCTACCACTGCAGGTGGAGCAGCAGGCAGGCACCACGGGACCCCAGGATGACAAGACACCCGCTGCCCAAGGCTCAAGCCCACACGTGCCATGCTACCATCCGTGAGCCACAGATGGGGAGAAATGGCACCACTCCCCTAGGTGCCACTGGTGAAACCCACATCCCACCCCGAGTGCCAGCATGTGGCTGCCCCCCAACTCACACCCACCTGAGTCAATACAGTAGTCCCGAGGTTCCTGCTTGATGCCCATGGGGGGCTGGAAGCCATGGCCAGGGGGGCCGGGCAGGCTGGGGCCACTGTGCTCATAGAGTGGGTCATGGTACTCCTGCTTGAATCCCTGAGGGGGGCGGGGGGCAGTGGGGCCAAGGGGCT